CTGCTTTTTGAGATGCTTGTAGCTTTGTAATAGAAGGTCGTAGAAAACGCAGCGACCCATCATTTTCTTCAAAATTTTCGGATCTTCAACATTGCTATTGTCAAAAACTTGTTTCAGCAACGTCTTATAGGTCTTGAAAAACACGGTTTTTAGTTTTCTGGAAATCTTTCGACTGTGATTCACTCATGAAACTCTGCTGTAGAGTGCATTAAATAGGAAACTTCATTGGCTTTCAGAATCACTATTTGGATTTGAGCTAGCTATTTAGCATCGTAGAAAAAAATCAAAAATAAAGTGTTGTTATATTTTTGTCCAGTACTGTATATTAAGCCTTCAATGAACTTAACATTCTTTTTCTTAAAATTTCACATAGAGTTTATTGAAAAAACACAATTACTTCAACATTATCATCAGTAGCTGTGCATTGACAGATGAATGTCTTTCATAGAGATGTAAAGTGTAACGTTTTTTCTACCCTAATCATACCTTATCCAGTTCAGCCCTTTCGCAGACTTCTTGTTGCTTTGCTCTGTACATCTCCAATATATAATAGCAGTTCTCTACTTGTGCACTTTGCTCGTCGTCATAGACGATCAATGGTAGATACATAGTATCATCATATAGATCAATAGAAGACTCATTATAAGACGAATGCTATTTATTTACTTGTTTGACTGAGTATTTTCGTTTGTATTTTTCTTCTTATAATCTATTCTGATAGCCTTGAACACATTAGCATTATCCATCGAAGTTGCTCAATAAACTTCATTAGTAACATACGATTAAAAGTCTTTGTTGTTTTCAAGTCAACACTTAACACACTACTAGATAATTTTCAATTATTCATTTTCATGAACACATATATTAATCTTGTTAATAATAGATCCTTTTGGATTTGGCAAACTAATAGTGATTTAACTGTTGGAACGTATCTTGTTTTCTGTAAATAGTTCAATTATTTTAGTTTAGCTTCTAGACCAAATCGAGATCTCATCTTATTCAATTTGCTTGTGGTCATATTGTTTGCGAGAACAATTGTACTAAGATCTTGTATTTCGAAATAGATTAAATGATTCTATATCGATCTCATTTTTGTTAAGCATAAAAATGTTTTTTCTTGTTTAAAAATAAAATTTTATCTTAATCAGTATAAAAAGAAAAACGAAAAAAAAAAAAACAAAATATAAAGTTCACAATGTTTTTAATCTATTCAATTGTTCAATATCAGTAAATATTGATGATATAGATGAATAATATGAAAGCAAATCATCAAGTAATATTCGATAATTTTCATCAATCATTGATAAAGCAATATCAATTTGCGGAAGTTTTGCTAGTTCAACAAGAATATGAAAACAAAATTTTATATAAGAAAACGGTAATAATGATGATTTATGTTCTTGTTGATAATGTTGTTCAGCTTGAATCATTATTCGACTAATATTAATAATTATTTCGATTAATTTTGTTGTTGAAAAATCAAATGATTGAAAAGAATTTTTTTCTGGTAAATGAAGAATAAATGAACATTGATCTTTAATATCATTCGAATTTAATGATGAATTTAAATATATATTATCTAAACGTATTTGTTCAAGTTCATTATATGAAAGACTATTTTCATTGATGGATTTCGAAGTTATTGGATTCGTTCGAATACGTCTTTTTTCTCGTGGAATTTGTTCACGTCGACATGTATAATATTCTGCAAGAACAATTTGATTATGTGGTTGTAATGTTATGCATTCTTTTAATATTAATTCATACAAACGATGATCACGAGACATTTTATATGCTGATGCTTTAAGATATAAAGCACGAAAATTATTTTTATCTTCTTTTAATCCCATATCACAATCATCAATTGTTTTTTGTGGCTAAAAAAAAAGATAAATGTTTTTTTTTTCTTATATTTTTCTAGTTCAATATAAATATTTATTTAATATACCTCAAATACATTTAAATAACATTCAGCTCGTTTTAAATAAGCATATGTAGTATTAGGTTGAAGTTCAATACAGAATGTATAACATTGAATAGCAAGAACAAAACAAGCATCAAGATATAATTGATCAGCATATGTTTGATACCATTCATATGCATTATTTTCTGAATATTCATATTTGATTTTTAGATAAGTTAAATAATGTTCATCATCATTTTTATCATTTGATAATTTTTCCCGCCATGCTTTATCTTCAGTAGAATTTAATTCTATCTCTAATCTAAATATATATATATATATATATCAATGGGTTCTGTACCATTTAAATCACGACAGGATAAATTAATTAAAAGATTAAATAATAAACAACGTCAAATTATATATGAAAAATGGAAATATGAAATTGAAAATTGTGATCTTATACAATGTAGTATTACATTTGATAATATCAAAGAGAAAAATTCTTTGATTGAATTTAATACTAATTCAAGTGTAACAAAAATTATGATGGAATAAAAATAGTGATGAACAACGAAAGAAATAATTTTTATTATTTTTTATAAGCATCCTTAGACTAAAATCGAATACAAATTAAGTTATAGAAGAGATCTATTCAACTCAAAATGATGTAGAACTATTTTATTCACTGATGATAAATGATTAATATTATTTCATAGATCAAAATACATGGTAAACCATACCATTTTGTCTATAGCGGATTAGTTTTAGTACTAAGTTACGATATACGTAAAATACAGGCAGTAAACCACGATTAATTGTTCACAATAACTGGTAAATTATATATAGAAACAGAACTCGTGTCATCAACGAAACCGACCGTTCGAACGATTTACTCTTTTTTTTTTATCAAGTTTTTTATAATTTGTCTATTAAATTAATATTTTTGATCGTGAAAAGATCGAGTCATCTGGCTGCCTAAGGAAGTCTATTCCATATACTCCTGCTTCCAAGATCCTATCATAATCCGACTGAAAACTCAGGGAATTGAACGTCGAATCATTGATCGGAATAAGAACGTTGAGTAAATTTCTATGAAATTCAGAACAAATCGAAAACGATTTAAACTTGCTACTCTCTTGTACAATGACCAGACATGATATAGTACTAATGAAAAGAAAGATCGATGTGTTAAGAATTTTATATATTAACTTCATTGAATAAATAATAACGTTTCTTAAATTCTACAACTTGAAAATATTAATAATGAAACTCACTTTTCACATGCCCGTCGTGTTAAATGATAACTAAAATTATTACTTGGTACACGTACATAATCAGCATAACTGAAGAGAAAACTAAAATTTAGAAACTATAAATTGATAGAATCTATTTTTAATATTTTACAAAATTTACAATTTTTCATGTTCAAATCCTTTAGCCCGATGAATCAATACATCACCATCATTTTTATTATATTGTAAAGCTTCAGTAGCATATTGAATAGCATGAACGTAATCATTAAGTTTCGAATAACATTCAGCACAAACGGTCAATATATCGACAATATATTCTGCATAATAATGATAATCTAAAATGAATAATTTAAAAAAAAAAATAGATAAATTAATCTATAAATAAATTTTACCAAGAATTCCATTATGAAGCAACTTTTTTGATACATCAATAGCATTTTTATAATCATTTAATCTATTAAATTTTTGAATATCACCTAGAATTTTATTAAGTGACCATGGTAAAGCAGTTTTTGACCATGGTCGATCAAAACATGATGAGAAACGATGACTTGGTTGTGATTTAACAAAATCATGTAACCAATTTTGTATAGTAGAACCAAAATTTGAATTTGAAATAGCATCACTAACCGATGTACTTCGCATATATGGATCATTATGATTTGTCCATGAATTTTGATAATTCTATTATAATAAAATATGTACAATAGATATTTGAAAACATTTTTATATGTACAGCACTCATCATTTTCATTTGAACAGAAAAAAAACGTTTATCACAATCTCTATAGGATTAAAATATGAAATTTGATGTAATAGTTCATATATTATAATGAGATATTATTGATCTACGATCTGTGAGAAAGAGAAGGAGAGGAAAACAGAGATGGAATCGTTCTAAAATTAATACTGACGATTTATTATATTATTTTGACTGTGAATGGTGATTTTGAATATGATCAACTTTCAATAAAGGTTCATCATACATTTTCTATAACATACTAAGAACAAAAAAGAAATTTACCGACAAGTCGGCCGGTAACCGATATCGATTCCATCCCTGAAAAAATATAAATTTCTATCTCTATACTTCAACATTTGTTTTAGATCGTATTTCACAAAATTTAATGATAAACAGCTACAACTGATTTGTCTTTTTTCTTTTTTTCTTGTTTGAATACTAACTGTATTTTGTTTATATGATGAAGAATTCTGTGATAATGTTGGTATATTCCGATTAATTTGTCTATCATATAAATCATCATAATCATCACTTGTTTGATGATGATACTTAGTTGAAACATTATCTTGTTTATTATTTTCATGCATAGCAAAAGCAATACTTTGATCAATTTTATTATTTTGTCCTATTGATATTTCATCTAACGGTTTTTGATCACTTAATTCTGGTACGTCGGAATCATCATCATTAGTTGGTGAAACATTTGCACTACGTACAACATGTCCTTCATCATCACTTATATTTACTACTAATCCACCACTAGCTTCATCACCTAATGCCATATCATCTTCATCATCATGTAATGATGACATTTGAAATTGATTTATATTATGATAATCAAATGTTGTTGAAAAAAGATTTCGAGAATTGAGATCCGAATGCATATTTTGATTTTGAGGTATATCTATATTCATAGAATGAGTCATATTATTGTTTACTTGTTGTTCTTCTTCGTCTTCACTATCCAATGGTGGAATTTTTAAAGATACAGTCTAATAAAATCTTTGTAATAAAATATGATTAATTCGAAAGAAACAATAACTCACAATTGGTGATTCAATTCCAAAATCTTTATTATCACCGGTACTTGGATTACTATTCATATTTCGAACAGTTAAAACGGTATTTAACAAATTCTAAAAGCAGAAAATTTAAAACAAAAGAAACACTATTTAATTAATTTAGTCAAGATTGTTCTAAAGTTTTCATAAACCTAAATTAGACAATTATTTAAGAATTTTTCTTCATTGAGATTAAAAAGAACTTAGTTTGACACATCTTTAGTGCTGATAACAAAATCTTCTCATTTCAATCGAATACTACGAAGAACATTGAAGAAATTGGTTTTCGACTTGAAACTTTGTTTCCGAGAACTTCATGAAAATAGTTTCTTGTGAGAGTTTTAGGTCTTTTCATTTTTTTTCTATTCTAATATATGTCTATGATAAAAAGGATATCTTTTACATCATTCATATACATGATTCTTCATGTTTCTAAGGTCCAGAATATTCATAGTTCATTAGAATCTATATGATGCATCATATATTTTCGACTAAAAAGCAATCAATCAGTTGTAGAACTTCTTTCGTTAGAATGAAAGAATTCTTCTTTAATTTGTTATTACTCATTCGTGCAAATATTTTTCTTAGTTAAAAATAAAAAAAAAGCTTTACTTGTGCTTCATCATTATCAGGATCAATTAAAAGAATATGATCAAGATCATTTTTTGCTTTATCATACTGTTGTTTAGTAAAATAACATGAAGCTCGACGAAATAAAGCTGTAAGAAAAAAAAGAAAATAACTTGTTAATAAGACTCTCAATTATTCGATATAAATTAACCTTGAATGTCTTTTGAATTAATCAATAATACTTGAGAATAATCTTGAATAGATGCATCAAAATTTTCTAATTTAAAAACTAAATCAAGAAAAATAAAATAATAGAATAAAAACAAATATTAAAATATTAACATACATGCCATAGCTCGTTTCATATAAGTAATTGAATTCTTATCAAGCGCAATACTTTTTGTATATAAATCAATTGATTGTTGATAATCATTTAATTTAAATGTTGTATCTCCATTAAGACGATATTGTGCAGACGTATAAAGACGTTTATTATCTTCATCAGATTGATTTTCTAATTAATAATAATAATAAATAAATAAAACAAAGTATAACATTTACTTAATAGTTCATTATCATGGTCTTCATAATCACTATTAAAGTCAGAAGAAACTTGCTGTTCAAATCTATAAAAATCATTAAAAAAAAACCTATTATTTTTCTAGTGATTCATATAAATTTACTTTGCCCATTCTTCATTACTTTTTGGTTCTGTTTGTGTAAAATCATTATTTATTATAGGTTCGGAAATAGTAGAATTGCCCTAGGAAAAAATGTATAGATTATATTTTTTTTTATTTCTATTTGATTTTATATAATGAATCAATACAAACATTATTGATATTTGAAGAATTAGATATTGAATTAATAATATTAGTTTGCTGTGAAAGATTATTCGATGAAGTGGATATATTGATTGGGATTTGATCTTGTCGAGATATTTCACTAGAAAATTATCAAATAAAAATAACTTTTCTATTATTCTCTTTAATATTATAACTACTCATTTGATTGAATCTTTCGAATTCGATCAAGTGTTAATTGTTCCAAAATTTTATTTGAACCCAGTTCTCCACTTCTATTTTTTTTTAAATATATAAATAAGTTTAACAGGGAAAAAAAAACATAAATAATTATTTATTTAATTTTTTTTTACATTAATAGTTTGTATATTCGTTCAAGTTCGATTCCATCTGTGCATTGTTGTATATACGTAGTGTCTAAATGACTCAATGGTATTTTATTTTTTTGTGTATGATCTGTAAGCACGCCTGTTGCATCATTCATCTAGAAAACTATTCGATTTGTTTATTTTAGAATCTTAACACCTTTTTTTTATCTTTCTATTAAAGTTAAGGACATTCCTTTCGTTATCTAGGCATCAGCACGTCGGCGAATAAACGAATTGTTTGATGCATTTATGTATTCTTTCAGTATTTCTAATTAAAAATAGATAGATCTAGAAAGATAAATGTATTAGTAATGCATATCTCATTTATCTTTAGTAAGACGTCACATACTGTAATATCGACATCTAATGGACAGAAGAAAAGCAAGGCAAGAATGTCATCGAGCATTACAACTTTCTTATGAGATAAGATATTTTAAGCGTGTATAAATACAAGAAGAAACTAATGGTTTGTTTGTCAGTCGGATTAGTTACCTATACACAAACATATTAAAGAAGTATAAGAAAAAAAAATATGTTTTTTAAACAATTAATGTTTGTTATTTTCTTCATCATTATTTCAAATACTGTTACAGCTCGATTACAACATCCATTTAAACAATGTTCACGTATGTATTTATTAATTTCGATTATTAATTCTATTTTTTTTTTATCACCAACATTATAGCAAGAAGTAGTGGTGAAATAGTCAAAGCTTCAGTCAATGCTCCATGTGGCAATGAATATTGCACATTTTACAAGGGTGCTGATGCTCGTCTTGAATTTACATTTAAATTACGTAAGATAATGAAAAATAAAAACAATTTAACAAAAAAACAAAAAAAAATATTTTCTTTCTAATAGGAAAGAAAGCTCATAAAGTACGAGCTAAAGTAATGGCAACAATTGGTACAGTTGATCATGATTTCGCTTTACCAAATCATGATGTTTGTCAACAACTTGGTTGTCCACTTCAAGCTGATACTCCTTATTCATATCACAACAGCATGTTTGTTAGTCCAACATATCCATCTGTATGTTCGACAAACTATTTTTTTTTCAAACTTCTATTAACATTAATTCAATATAAACTTGTTTTTCTTTTCTGTATAGGTTAAAGTCAATCAAATGCGATACTATTTAATCGATGGTAAAGGACGTGAGCTTGCCTGTGTCTCATTACCCGTGATGATTACTGAAAAAGACTCGAAACAATAAGTGGTAGCGACTGCTGCATGCATTTCTTTGTTAAGAAAAAAAACATTTTCTTTTTGTCAAGCATATATATATATATGTCTCGTTTTGAATTTTTTTCACTCCTCTTCTTTTCTTTGTCAATAATTTTTTTTTTTTTTTGAAATTGAGTAAAACTTAATAAAAGAACATGAAAAAAAACAGTATTCAATTCCATTAGAGAATAGAGAGAGAAAGTAAAACAGACTCGAGCAAATAACAACAACAACAACAACAATGCCGTTGTATATGGAAGATGTACTTGCTACAGATCCTAATAGACGAACAGGTAAAAATATTTAAGTACTAATAAAAATTTTCGTCTAATTTATAAGATTCGGCAACTGAATATCGTACACGTTATATGTCACCACGTCGAGAAGATTATGCTCCACATATAGTTTTACCGAGAATAAGTACAAATCGACCAGTATCACGTAGTCGTTCATTTCTTTCCTATGATGTTGATCCAAATTCAACATCAACAGCATCTGAATATCGTCTACGTTTTCCTAATCATCATCCAAAACGGCCATATGTCTTTCATGCTCAACCAAGTCATGTTTTTGATTTTGTTCCAATGCCAGTTAATTCAAGAGTATCACCTCGAGTAGATCTATCTCCATCATTTACAAAAGATACTGAATATCATGAACGTTTTCCAAATTATCGTTCATATGTACCAATTCAAGAATTAGTACCACCACATCTACCTGCTCAACCAAATATGCCATCAGCTACACAAGTAAAAAGAGATCGTATGACACGTAGTCAATATTTTCATGAGCTTGTTACGGATAGTGATAAATATAATGGTGGACAACGATATGTTGGTAATAGTGAACAGCGTACTGCTTTTCAATGGCCTTATCATATGCAACAACAACAACAACAACAACAACAATCAACACCTTATTCAACAATGAATATGTATAATCCGATACCACCAATTTATCGAGAAGTACTCAATGCTTCGAATTAAATTCGTTTAAAAGAAGAAAAAAAAAGAAAAGAAACAAAAGAGTTGAGTTCAAAATTTTAATTTAATAAAAAATATCATTAAATTTCTTTGTTTTTTATACTAAATACGTTCAGCTATATAGATACCCAAACGACAACCCATTTTAATAACACTGGTTAAACTTTGATAGAAAGGTGCCTTAAAAAAATATAAATAAAAAACAAAATAAACAACATAATATTTATTTACTTGTTCAGCTTTATTAGCTAAACCTATATCATGATGTTGACTTTCATCATCACGAAATTTTCTAATTGTCTTTAAACAAAAAAATTTCAATTCGATTCATAATATCTTTATTTCTATGTCTTACTTGTATTAATTCTTTATCTTTGATATGATCTGCATGTTCCATTAAATCACGTAATTGACTATAAACTGAAAACCTCGAAAAAAAAAAAAAAAACTAACATACTTGAAATTTTCTCACTCGTTATAATGTTCACTAATAACAGCTTCTACAGCTACTGTACATGCCATAGCTGCTTCTTTACCAAGTAAAGCTGTTCCAGCACCTTAAATTAAAAAACAAGAAAATTTTATAATATAGAAAAAAGAAAAATTTTTATTTTACCTAATGCATAACCAGCGACATTCCACAATGGTAATAATGCTGATGGTCGAGCTTTGTATTTGGGTATTAATTCATTAAATTTTGCCAAATGTACTTTTTCTTCATCCCACATATGCTATTCATATAAAAGATAATATATATTCCGTGTCTGTTGTTTTGATGATTTAATAATTAATATACTTGAATTGTTTGTCCAACATCTGTACGACCTAAAACTGCCATTTGACCAGCATAAATTCTATCAGCAGCTAATTCTCCAGCCTGATCAACACGTATGATTTTATCGAAAAGTTCTCTAGTTTTTTGTTCTGGTTTAACTTCAAATGAAGTTAATGATGATAAAAATCGACTAGATTCTGGTCGAGATATTTTTCTCAATAGTAAACGTGACATAATCATTATCTATAAAGTCAATATAAATTCAATAATTTGTAAAAAAAAAAAAATACAAATAAAAGGTCAATAATGCAAATTAGTATAAAAAGAGAAACATATAGAGAAAAAACTGAAGTGCACAAAAAGTTTGCGAGTTCTCTTGCAAGAATAATTGCTTGAAGAGATGTGGGAAAAACATTTTTTAACTAGTGACAACAATTTAGCTATAATCTTATAAATTTCTTTTGTTATGATTTTAAATTTAAAAAAATATAAATCATTCTTATTCGATGGGTTTCAATACAAAATCAGTTTTTTTCCATTCAATTAAAGCAAACGGTGGTTCATTTTGTAGATCTTTCGTTTCACCATATGGACATGTTATTAAATGTTGATTTAATGATGTTAATTTATTTGGAGTTTTTAATCGCCATTTTGGAACTGCAGATGAAGTATTTGTAAATAACCAATGCTAAACAATAGAAAAAGAAATATATGGGTGAATCCACGGGAAACCAACCACTATTTTGGAAAAAGTTTTATTTCTCAAGTTTTTTCTTCTAGTTAGATTGATCATCGATAGAAAATAGGCTTGGCCGAAAAATATTCCTAAGTAGTACTTGATATCCAGAAGATCCAAGCTGCTGTCTCGGTACAACTATGATGAGAGTAGATCACTTCGGTAACTCCAATGTNAATACAGGTGTTTACAAATAGTTAAGATAGCCTCGCTATTTACAATACCAAAATTGTTCATTTGAGAAGATTGAATTAGAAAAAGTCGACTTATCACTGTTCATTTTACTTCCGCATAATGATGAGAAATTAAAGACATTTTGAAGACATCATTGAAAAGGCTCGTTCAAAAGAGATTTTATATTCCAGATTAGCTTTTTTCCTAATGTTGACATAATAAGGAGAGTCTGATCATAACATTTTATACCAGAGACAATGTAGAATAGTTCTGTTTCGACAGACCTACGATTGCATCATCAAAACATTCTAGCACTTATTCACTTTATTGTGCTGCTTTTCACTAACGCCATCGAACAAGTCAAGATCTTCGTACAATTTTCGAGTACATTTTGATAGAGAAACTGTTTTTGTATACCATCTTACAGTTTGAATTCCATCTAATCTTCATGTCCATATTGTCGTTATATGAATCTTTATGATCGAGAAGCTAATTTCATGTACCAGAAAATATCAAGAACAATTTGTATCGTCCAACGATGATGATAAATCATTATCTTGTTTGAATAACTTTCTCTCGTCAGCACTAGTATCAGAATCTAACTGTACATCTGCGCCACTTTCAATTGTCATCACATCCTTATTGGAATCATCGTCATCGACACTCAATGATATTGACTTCTTAGGGAAAACACATCCTTCTTTTCAAATCACTAAACTCAGCACATACACAAAACAATGAATGCAAATGTCTACCATACGATTGTGTTCTATGATTATCTTGATATTTGATATATTATTCATATTCATCGATATAGTTATATTGCAGCAGTTCGAATTGAAAAATAATTCACTTCAAATGACTTCATATTCGATGCGCCTAATACCGTTTTGAATTTACAAATATATAATTGTGGGTGTGAGAATGTGGATTCTTGTGTTGAATTTCTTTTCACTCAACCATATATACTTTCAAACAGTCTTCTGAATCAACATTGCTATGATGGTAGATTCCCGTTTCGTCGAAAAATTAAATTGTAACGAAAAAGAGTCTAATCAGAGTGATAAGCTCAATTTCTTCGATTGATTTAAACTGTTTCCCTAAAAACAAACTAATTGATATCCCTATACTAATAATCTGTAATTATGCAAAAGTATATATATGTGGAGTAAAAAGGGAAAATTCATTTTTTTTTTGCTATATATATTCATTAGTACACAAAATGATGCTATCTATTGTTCAAAGTAAACGTAATAAACCAACTCTATGACTTGATACCTTTCGCTACACACAAGATAAAATTTTAAACAACTATTTATTGGAAATGTGAAAATTGTTTATGTCCTGGATGTGGTATACAATATGGTTCAAAGCCACCGAGAATGACGAAATCACATAATGATGATGATGATGATGATGAAGTAAAATGTTAAGTGAAAGAATTTAGAATGAATTTAAAACGACGTATTGAAGATTCATCACAACCAGTGAAAAAATCTTATAGAGAACAAATAATATCATGATATCTTGAAAAAGTTATGCGATTAATCGGAATAAAAAAGTATTGATTCTTTTCTTTTCTATATTCATATTTTCTCTTAATAATTTCTTATTTATGTATCTAAACCTACTCTATAATAAGTTTTCATTTTGACAAATTTATCTATAAGTAATTCGGCACTATTCCTGATTAGTATGATGAAAAAATCTCATCAAATGATATCATCTATTCTTCATTAATTAATTAGAAGTTATTTTTCGACGAAACAGGACCTTAGCGCTATGATATATTTCTTCTTCAAATTTATTCTGCTCGTTTTATACAGAATGAATTTTTCTATATTTCTTTTTCATTTTTTTATGCTTCGTACAATATTATGTTGAGAAAAAAACATCAATACACCTTGTGTTATGATATGCACAATTTTTTTTTGACCGAGTTTCTCTTTCTCCATCTACCTATGTGCTATTTTTTATCCCTTCGTCGTTATTTCAAGCAGCTTATTTTGTGTTTGCGTTGAGTACCTCGCATTTCATTGAAGCATAGTATTATTTACCACTATGTTGGTCGTATATGATATTGACTTTTTTCAACTGATCATATGAGAAAATAGTCAGTTCAAAATGGGTTACGACACAGTGATATACATCAAATCCATACATTGGTAAACTATGTGGTACTGTATGCTATTCAATAGATCTGTTGGCTTTGTATTCTGGATTGCTCATGATATTAGGTCTTTTAATTATTGATATCGATTTGAGCTCTTTTGCAGCTTCTGAATATGTAAAAGAGCTTCGTACACGTCAACTTTAGACAAATTCAAGTTGTCTTTTATTAAACTATACACTGATCACGCATGAATGCCAGAGTTGTAGTGAATATTCATGTTCCACTTATCAATGTTTTGATGAACAATTTTTCATATCATATGTTACTTTCAATGCAATGCTTTTTATGAGTAGTCTTCTTACCTATGGTAAAGTCACACCACACAAACAAGCAAAAGAATGAGGTTTTATCTCTGGATCTAAAAGTAAAATAGTCTTATCAGTTCTGCTTTATAGATTGGCAATCACTATCCATGCTTCTTCAAACGAAAGAATGTAACATCAGTGGTCTGGGATCTTCCTGATGGAAGATATTTTATAATTCAATTATATATCTTTTTCGGAATTATCGGATTGGGTCTTATATTAATAATTGTTGGTGTATGTTGTTGCATGAAAAGAAAAATATGTGAAGATTGCTCATGTATTTCAAAGCTTATCGAAATCATCAAAGGCATATATTCTCGACGACAAGCTAAGAAGATCGTTCTAAGACAGGTTACAGAAAACTTTGACGGACTCAATCGTCTGTAAGAAACAGTAGTTAATTGTTTCTAATGATTTTATTTTTCTAAATTTTATTTACATACGAAGAATATTTATAATTCAGAATAAATATCATGAGAATGAATGAGTAAGGGTTTTCTTTTCACGTGTTCATCCTTGGTAAATACTTCAATAGTTACTACTAACTATATTTCGCTAACTCTTTCGAAAAAGTCACTTTCTGAGTGTAGATGGTTATGGATAAAAGAAATGTGCACATCGTCACTCACATCCAGGACGAGTTTTTGTTGAAATGAAATAAGTTCGAACGGTATAATAGAAGATTTAAGCGAAACTTATAGACTTATTGGTGAGATCATTAATTGATCTATGGTATTAATGAACTTAGTGGCAGGAACGTTTTCTCCTTCAGAAGATTGTGAGTGTTTCATTTCGACTGGAAGTGACTTCACTCACATATTGTACAATTCATAAATAAAAAGGATCATATACATATTTAGATAATGTGTTTGTTCCAACAATAGACCACGTACCTTACTTGAAGAAGTATGATAGAATATGCCGTTTCAATCTTTAAAGACTCAAACTTGCGAATGAGCTTATACGAACAAGAAACGAAGACTGACTTCAGACTTCGTAATGCCACCAGACAAAAATATTCGTTTTCATAACAGAAAAGAACGACAGCAACAAAAAAAAGTAATGGCCAGTTATATGTTAAACTACCTTAAGGATGCCAGTGTCTGAGTGGACGAAAAGAAAACTGGCACACACACTCACTTATCTTTACGGTTGAGTTAGTAGAAAATAACTTGAAAAGATTGAAATCATGTTATTACTCATTAAAATCAAAACGACTGTTATCTTTATTGACAAGCATACATGATATAAAAGGTAAATATCTATATGCGTTCTTTCATATGGTACAGTGTCGTCAAGCGAGATCAGAAAGGTATATGATGGAAGAGATTCTTTCTATTTAGAATCCAATGATTTCTTTCTTTTCGACTAAAATGATTTTTATTATGATAGATCTGTGTTCCAAGCAGGCGGACATATCGATTTTTTCTACCTTTTTTTTGTTCATTTTCTCTGCGATTTTGTCACATTTATGTAGAAAAGTGGTTAAAAAGTTATTTCAATTGAAAATCATCCATTATATTTCAAAAATTTGAATTTTTAAGGGTCTATGAACTAATAGTTTTTACATAAATTTTTTTCATCTATAATTAGATTCACTTTTTCTGTGAAAACTCACTCATATTGGTTATTTACTTTCACGAGAGACATAGCAACCATCCTTCTTTCTGTTTTTGTGATTTATTCCAGACCATAAAAAACGTAAACTTCTTAGTTAAGAGAAACCTATTTTTTTCTTCTTTCCGACAGTCATATCGTAGCAATAGAAGATAGATACATATTTTATTAAAATACATGTGCTACTTCTTTTCTATCAACTGCATATCTCTTAACGCAGAGCAACTATTCAGGGAGTAGTAATAATCTTATAGCGGTAAAAGGTATACCCTCTTTATTTTGTATATCTGTATATTTTTGTTCCGTTAAGTACTCAATTCTTGGTATAAGATAGGTACCTCGTGTTAAATACATAAGAATTTTTTTCTTCCATGAACTAATCAGCTTCTAGAGGCAGAAGAATGAATAATTCATGCTTCATACTCGTCTAGTTTTTTTTTTTTTATCAAGTATTCAGTTATGAGCATAGGGAGATATTCAAAAAGTATCGAAGTGTATACTTTTTATTTTCAATGATTAGTTCATCGATAAGCTAGAGAGGGATACCCCTTATTGGATATAAACTAACTAGTTAGATGATATTTAATCTTCAATTTTAAATGAGTCTCAAATCATTTTTTTATCCACTAATTTTTCCTTAATGTTGACTCAAGAAATAATCTTATCAGTTATAAATTAAATTTCGTGCACTTCAATCTGCGTTTTTTCTCGTTTAACTTTCCACGAAGTTACATAATGCACAGAGATAAGTATGTTCAGGATTCTAAATCTACATCATAAATGTGAGAAAGTACAATAACAGTTATTTAGAATAATGTCGTTAAGAATTTCTTCAAAGTATTTTCTTAGTTGTGGAGCACTTTAAATTCTCTACATACACTTATCTGGTTAACGAAACCAATTATAACTCCAGTAATATCCAAAAATTTTATGGCAAAAAATTTAAAATATTGCACAAGTAAGAATATACTTTGAGGAAATTCTATACGGCATTGTTCTAAATAACAATTATTTTATTTTATTACATTTACGTTGAAGAATTAGAATTCTAAGCATTATTATCTTTGTATCATCGAATGCATAGTTTGATTTCGTGGAATGTTAAACAACGAATATGCTGACAAAAGAGCATTTCTATGCAACTAAAGTAATCATACCTGATATATATACAAAATTTGTACATTTAAACAGTATTAAATTTTCTCAAATTTTGTGAAAAAAAGAATTTGATCATTTTTCGAACATATAAAGTTTTGAGGCGAAAAATTTGTACAAAAGGAACAAACTGAATAGAAAATAAGACACAATTTTTTTTATGGCAATCAAATGATAAATTCATAATCATTATCCAAAAAAATGCTTGTGATAAAATTTCTTAGAACGTAAATTTGGAAAACTTTCTCACGCTGAAGTCATTCTTTTTCGTATCGAAATTACACAGAAACGAAATTTATCTAGTAGGAGTCTCACATGATTATGAAAAATATTTGAATCAATATACAAAAACAAATTTTCTTAAAAAAAAATATATTCAAAATATGCAACCGTTGTTGATAGTTTTTTACTTAAGAATTACGGAGATCCCGAGTGGATTTGCAGAGCTGTCTATTGTTTATGGCAACAAGAAAAACAAGAACAAGTTTATGTTTGACTTGAACAATTCATAGTTATCGATTCTAAGTATGCATGTGCTTTTAAGTTGAGTGCAAATTACTTTAAAGACAAAGGTGATACAATTAATGCTGAAAAATATACATGTAAATGCAAGTTATATTTATAGTTTCCAAATTTTTGTTGCAATATTGAATACAATCCGGAGAATGCTGCAATGTACTGAGAAGACATTAAAAATAGATAAATCGTGACGATCAACCGAATTTGTAGCTGCCATTTGCTATCATCATTTCTATGGGCCTATACACGACAAAGTATTTGAAATACTTGAAAAACAAGGAAAAGCAGTTGAAGGTTCCGAAAAAAACTTTATTGGATCTGTTCTGATGAATCGTATCAAACAAGATGAAAGTGTATATACAATAAAATATGCAGGTTAATGCATTAAGCGAAATGAAGTATTTGAAATCCTTCGTCTTTTGAAACTGATAAGAAAGTGAAAGAAGTTTTGTTGAATGGTATTAACAAAGAACATACTCGCAATGTTTCTCTTGTTGCTTTCTGCATTTCGACGTAAGAGAAACAACATTTCGGACAGCTGAGGACAATGTTGGTAAAATGAGACACTCTAAATCATACGATCATCGAATATTTGAAAATAACGTTTAGCAACATTTTTACTGAAAATAACATCAGAAATTCATAAAGACAGACCAATCTGAAATGAAACGCAACTTCCTATGCATAAATCTCGACTATTGCTTTTCAACAATCGATGCAGATTATTGAAAGGTATATATGTGCTTCGCAAAAATATGTAGAAAGATAATATGCTAATGTGGTTCACACTCTTTATTAAGGTTTTAATAATCTTGACTCGACGTATATTATGCACAGAAATAGGTAACATGATATAAGAAAGCAATAAATTATAAATTGAAAAAAAGATAACCTACCACTAACTTTAACAATTAAAAGATAAAGAGCAATGTCTATAGTGAGAGAATGTATATCCATGATAGGTGTTTCCGTTCTCTATTCATTTGGTATTTATTTTGCACACGTATAAGAAAAATAACAGTTCTCCTTGTAGATAATATTGACTGATTAGTTATTTGTTTGATTATTTCTTTTTCGAAGGAAAATGTTAATACGTGCTATTAACGTTTTATTTTTTCGTAGACGTAGGAAATTTACTTCAGTTTATTGTTTATCTTTTTTATTTCAAAATCATTTATTTCTATATTATCGAGAAACATGTCATTGTTTGAGTCTGAAGAGATGTTTATTATATCATCAATACACGTACTCTTATCATGTTAAGGAATATCTTTTCTTATATTTATTGCCATTATTTTATTTTCGTTTTGGCATGAATAGAATTTGGAAGTTGGGAAGGTTATATGATCGACAAGCAACCAAAAAAGAGATGTAGGATTGGATACAATCGAAAATTAACTACGTTTTTTTCATCATATAGCAAATGAATAGACCATGCTGACTGAATAAAATGAATCATTAAAAAGTTTTACAACATAGTCAAAATAACATTTCCCTATTAAGCGACGCAAATAAAAATATAAATTTTATGATGAAGCCATTGAAATAAAAAAAAAACGCGTTTTTATGAGTTGCCATCGATTGAGAATAATTCTCGTAGATCGACTACTCTAGTTCTAAATAATTTCGATATTGTCATATCGTCATTCTCAAAAAAGATTTCAAATTCGTAAAAAGGTAATCTTTTATACACATGTTGAAATGTATATTTTTTTGGTATTTTTTCTCCTCAGTTTTATTCTGTTCATCTTCGTTTTATCCATGTTCACTTTTTCATGCGTTTGGATGCGCCATTTATTCCATCATCCTTTCATTATATGATAGTGTCATTTTTCTTTTTCTCTCATAATAATAACGGACTCTTTTTTCATAGCCTTTTCATTTTTTATTCATGCATTGCTTGTCATTTTCGTTGGCCACTTATTGCATTGCTTTTCGTATAGTCAATCAAGAATTAATATAGATGGTAGATTGGCAGTCCAAACGAGGGACTTCATTCGAATCGGTTGTTTAAATTTTAGTGCTTCAGCCGACAAAACGTAATCTAAAATAAGCAACACAAATACATGAGATCCAGCAATAAAATACTACCGATAATGTCAGTCGTTTATTTTTCTTTTTATTGTTGAGGGAAAAATAGACTTGCCATTTTTTTTTTGATGAAGATGAAGTGAATAACCACAGTTAAATATCATTAATATGTTTCAATTACATATATATATTATTTTCATAAATTCCAGGTCTAATTTTATACCTTGTAAAGTAACACCTAAAGGACATTCTTATTAAAGTGATATATAAATTAATAAAAATGTTACAATAATTTTATGGATTTTGTTTTTCCTTCTTTGAGCATTAGACTTCATAAGAACACAATGATTAAAATGGCTCATAATAAGTGTGTGACTAATATTTTCTCCATCCTTACAAGAAAAACAAAGATTTAAAAAATAATTTGATAAATATATTTTATTATACTCTCTAGTAAAGAATCTCCTTAACAAAACTGTCCATTGAGTATAATTAATTTTGGTTGATAGTTCAGATGTTAAAAATTTATATTTTCTATGCCTGTTCAACTTTATATATTTGAAAAAAAAACAAAAAAGAAAATTTAAATTAGTCTTTATATATGTTAATTTTTATAAAACTAGCAGTAGTTAGATGAGCTTCATAAAAATAGAATATTTGTTTTATCTTATATCTTAACATATTACTAAACGTTTGATTTCCTAATTGAGTGAATTCGTTGAGAGAACAATCATATTCCATAGATCTGGATTTCTAGAATATAATTTTTCTTTCAGGAAATACACACAAGTCACAAATCTAAAGTATTTTCACGATTGTTTTAAATTGTTTGTGTAGCTGGGTAGTTGTATCCAGCAATTCGAATTGAAAGATAACTCCATTCATATGATTGCATTTAATATATGTTTGAGAAGAAAAAAAACAATATTAAGTACTTCTGTTACGAAATGTATAGTTTTTCTTTCGACCGAGCTTTTCTCTCTCCATCTATCTACGTGCAATTTTCGATCACTTCATCGTTACTTTAAACAGCTTAAAGGGTCGATATTTTTCCCGTTCATGTTAAATAACTCACGCAGCGCTGAAGCGAAACATCATTTACTGTTATGTTGCTCGTACATATTTCTGGTTTTTTTTCCAACTGATCATATGAATAAATACTCTGCACAAACTTATTTTTAGGGCAAGTGATATAGATCGAATCAATAGATGGGTAAGCTGTGCAGTACTGCATGTTATTCAATAGGTTTTTTGGCTTTGTATTCTGGAGTGCTTATTTTATCGGGTCTTTTCATTAGTGGTATTATTTTGGGTTCTATTGCAGCTCCTGGTTATATAAAAGAGAGTCGCATACGTGATCTTTATACAAATACCAGCTGTATTTTATTGAACTATACATTTGTCACGCATGAATGTCAACGTTGTGATGAAGAATCATGTTACACTTATAAGTGTTTTGATGAACAATTCTTCATTTCACATTCAATTTTTAATGGAACGCTTGTTACTAGTAGTTTTATAAGCTATGAGAAAGCTGTACAGCATAAACAAACACAGGTATAGGATTCTATCTTTGTATTGAAAAGTTAAATGGTCTCATCAATTATACTTCATAGATTGACGTTCATTATCCATGCTTCTACAAACGAGAGAGTGTAACATCAGTTGTGTGGGAGCTTCCTGATGGAAAATTTTATTTAAACCAACTATGCGTCTATCTCGTAATTGTCGGATTAACTCTAATATTAATAATTATTGGTGCATTTTGTTGGATGATAGGAAAAATATGCAATAGTTGCTCACATACTTCAAGATTTATCAAAATAATCAAAGACATATATACTCAAAGACAAACGAAGAAGACCATGGCATGCCAAGCTACAGAAAACTTTGACGAACTCATTCCTCTTTAAAAGACAATGGTTAATTGTTTCTAATGATTTAATTGTTCTGAATTTTGATGTACTCATAAAGAATATTTCTAACCCAGAATAGATAGCATAAAAATGAATAAGTGTCTTCTTTTCACTTACTAACGCTTGGGAACTAATGCAACAGTCAATACCAATTATATTTCACAGAGCCCTTCCAAAAGTCACTATTTGAGAATGAATTACTGTAAGCGAAGGAAAGATTCACACCCTCATTCTCTCTAGGAACAAGTTTCAGTTCGAATAAAATGAGATTGAATAGTATAAAAGAAAACCTATGGGAAGCTTATAGACGTAGGGACTAGTTATTGATTGCTTCTTTCTGTTGATGGACTGACTAATGCTCGATCGTTTGTTTGAATATATTTGCTCGAATTAATATCAATTACAGAATAATTTATAGTGTTGAGTTTTTGTACCAAGAACGTATTCTTCTTCCCTTGGTGACGAGTGTTCAACTTCGACTAGAAGTAATTTTATAGTAGTGCATTATTTAACTCTCATATTGTACAATATATAAATGCGCAGGGTGACATACATGTTTAGATAGTTCACTTGTTGCAATAACAGACGAGGTGGAATACTTTCCTGGTCACAAAATACGAAGCAAACAAATACTCTTGAAAACTCAAACTTGAGAATCAACTTTTATAAACAAGAAAATACAACTGACTTGAAATTTCATGATTCCATCATTCAAAGATATTCGTTTTTCATCACAGAAAAGGACTTTTCTTATGGATAGTTGTCCAAGGAGAACAACACCAAAAAAGTAACAATCGATGATATGTTAATCTGTTTTCGGGATTTGATTGAACGAAAAGAAAATTCACGCTTGCTATCAAAAAAACATTGAGTGAAACAAGCAGTGACATACGCATTGATGATGGAGTTTATATGCAATTCAAACTAATTAAAGATCAAATGGCTATGAATCGTTCCGGGTGAATATATATGTTACCGCTGATTTTTTCAAGAATCAATCGTAGATCGTCATAACAAGCAAAACTATCAAGCAATGGAAAAAAACTTATTCATAGATTAGCAAAGAAAAGTAAAAAAAAAAGTTGAATTTCGCATTCAATTTGTGATTACGATGCTGGATTTAGTAAAGTCGAAATCAATGATCGATTTGAAGACCTTGTATAACCCAGAGAAAAAAGCACACGAAAAGCAAATAATGATGAACGAAAGTAGTCATGCCTTTGCTTGTGAAAATATGATTTTCATCCATTGACAATCCTAAACCAGTAACCTCAACTATGTTTGTATCAGGCCGTAAAACTGGACGAAATTGTTTTCCTTTAACATCAATCGTGGCTGGTATTGAGTTGAGTCCATAGAAAGTCAACGAATCCAGAATCAAATTTGACATATGCGGATAGCTATTTTCAATGACATTCATCGTCAATTGACCATCTGTCGATGACCAATTGAATTTTGCATAAAAATAAGCTTTTGACCCAATTGTATCGATCGATTCACCATCATCGTAGAATAGATCACCGTTTGCATTTCCATTTGCATCAATTACAATGGTGAGACCAAATGGTTTTTCTCTAATGTATTGAAAAATTTGAAGAAATAACTAAAAAATCAAAATTTATTCACTCATTTACCTGGAAAGTTTTGTATTGTTAGCAAAACCTTGTGTTGGCAAAATGGCTCCGCCTTTGAGCAAAATAGGAATTATATTTAAAGGTGCTTCCATTGATATTGATTGATTATGTGCAGCAATTCTTGAACCCGTATAATAATTATACCACGGAGATGATGGAATATAAACTTGAACTTGACGAGCACCATCATCAGTCACAGGTGCTATCATTAGATGGGATCCGATGAGAAATTGAAGAAATATATCCAATGCAGCCTTATCTGTTGGATATTCATGAAATAATGGTCGAATTACTGTTGAACCTTGTGTATGTGCTTTGTAGAAAAGTGTATAATAATAAGGAAGTAGAGTATAACGAATATGAAGTGCAGAAACCATGATAGCCACAGCTGATGCAGACCATGATGCTGGATCTTGATCTGGTGTATCCCGAACATTATGCTAAACGAAATAAGATATTATCATATATAAATGTCACTAAAATGATAAATTTACATTTCGAGAATATGGATAGAAAGCACCGACTTGCATCCAACTGAAATAAAAAAAATTAAGAACATGCTTTTTTTTTTGGAAAAACTGCATATTTTGCTTTTTTTACCGAATACACATTTCTTCACTCGGTGTTCCACCGAATCCGCATATGTCAGCACCATTAAATGGGATGCCAAACCAATTGAATTCAACCATACCAATTAATGATCGTTTCATTTCATGCCATGTTGCATCATTATCTCCTAGCCAATGACCACTCCATTGACCCGAACCGACAAAAGTTGAGCGAGGCAAAACTATACTTCGTTTACCGGTTATTGATCGCATTATATCTAATGTTGGTTTTGTTTGACTCCATCCATACAAACTAGAATTAAAAAAAATTCAATATCTTCGATTTCGTGTAATAATAATCTTTTTATACTTGTGCACATCATAATGACGATACTTAGGTTGACGTGTATTTGGATCAATGTCACCTTGTTGAATTGACATGCACAGTGTACGATCAGAAATACGAGAAATTCGGTCCCAATTACCATCGTAACGATATACAGCTTTGGTTCGATAAGGTGGATTATCCCATTGGTTATATGGGCATTTTAATGTATGATTACTACCAGTTTGCATCCAATTCCATGGAGCATCATTGTTAGTATCAAATAGAGCTATCAAAACAAAATGAGAAAAAGTTCGATCATCTTTCAAAATATAATCGATAAGAAATTTCGCTTTCCTCTCGAAGATGGTATGCAATCTTTGAAAAAAAAAATATTCTAAAAACATTTCTAAAGATGTGTCCGTCTTTGAAACGATCATAAGATAATCCGATAGCAATTACTCTCAAAATTTGTTTTCCTTATCCATATGATAATAGATATATAATCCATACCTGGTTCATTCATATCGATCCAAAGTCCATCAAATGATACATTGACTCGTCGAAAATCAGTTATCCGTTCTGACCACCAAGCGTGTGTTTGATTGAGAAAGAAATCTATGTGGATAAAAAAACAGAAGAACACGATTTCTATGTAAATAATAATATAATAAACAAAATTCGAGAAAATTTTTTGCAAGTTAATGTCTATTTGATTATCGAAGAAAATCTTTTTCGAATACATTTTATAGTAGATCGAAAATATCTTGAATCTTTTTTTTGCTTTTCGAAACAAACGAATTTTATATTCTCATAGTTCAGCACTATGTGCTTTCAAAAAAATGCTTTGCATTTGTTTTTCTAGTATTTTATTTGAACTGAAATAAGTAATAGTTATTCGTTTGATCAATGCTCCAAAAAAAAATTGATTTAAAAGACAAACCTGGAAAGAATACATCGCCTGGCCAACAAGATCCTTTTACTAATGTTTGTCTATCATCCCATTTGATAAAAACATCATTATTAATGCCTTGAACTGTTGGTTGATAATATACTTGATCGTCAAACATACCAGGATCAAGTATAACAATAGTTCGAACTCCTTCACTATTTAATTGAGCGAAATACTCTTTCAATCCACGATAATTAACCGGATCAACAGTAAAAATTTTTCTTGCATCCATATAATCAATATCAGCATATTGAACATCAAGTGGTATTCCAGCATCACGATTTCGTTTAACAACCATTTGCATGTGTGTTAAATTCGAATAATCCCAACGAGCAAGCTGAAAACCAAGTGACCAATAGGGTGGAAGAATTGATCGACCAACAAGCCATGTATATTGTTGAATGACTTGTTCTGGTTCTGGACCAAGAAATACAAAAAAATCTAGAATACCACCAATAGTACGTATAGTTAATGATGGTAGCGATGAAAACGAATAATCCATTGCATTTGAATTGAGTAACAAGACACCATGCATGTTACCTGATGGTACTTGATCAGAATTCGACAACTGTTCCATAACAAGATAGAATGGATGTGAACCATAATGATTTGCATTTCGATCCCAATTAGTACCTAAGCAGTTAATATATTTAAAATTATCATATGATCGCTTAGTCATTTTTTATATAACTAACCTTGATCACGAGCAAATATGCCCCATGATTGATGTTCGTTGACATTGTGTTTTAAAGTATCATGATTATTCTCACCAAATCCATATACATGAGATGATTGAAGCCGTGTGACTATTTGAAGAAATTGATTATTCAGTACAAGACCTCCAGGTGATGTATCGAATAGTATTGCTTGATCACTGCGACGTTGAATTGCAAATGATAAAATATTGTCACGTGAAGAATTTGATGAATATAGAAATTCATATTGAGGTGATGATACTTGATTAGATGGTGAAGATAATGGTATTGGAACCTGACAATACGAAAATGAAAACAAAATCATAACTGAAGATAATTCTTCGAATTCTTACCTCATATCGTTGATTATCTTCATCATATAATTTGAATCTTAATATGTCATTAGTATAATACTGTACATCGAGAGTAACATTATCGATAGGTGCAGGAAACATACTGTCAATAGCTTGATTTCGTCGTAATCGTAGACGAATACCTTTTTCAATTTGCTGAACATCTGGTTGTAAAATGTATCCATAGTTCGGTTGTAAATAACATTGAATAACATTTGGAAGTGCATTATCATCAAATAGACAATTACGTGCTAGACAAGTTTCTTTCGAATAATCCGAAAATGAAGATTCACGTTCGGGATAACAGTCAATACGTTCTGTCGACTTTAACAACAAGCCATTAGTAAAGACAGTGACTAAAAGTCCAACAAGAACGAAACTTGTCATAAGACAGTGCATGTCGTCGGCTAGGAGACCAAAAATGCTGCAGCTACGAAGAATTTAAAACGAAAAAAGAAATGAAATCTTTTTTATGTAATAAAAAAAAGATCAACTGATTTGCCACTTATTGATTCTTCTTGCCGCAAGAACCGTCAAATAAATCACTGATTCCCTAGTATTTCGATGGTCTTTCCTAACAGTTTCTTAACATCATGCATCTACATAGTCATCATTCTACTAAAATCATTTCGAAAACGTCACGAATTCGTGACTGAAATAAGAATAAGAATTTCAAATCTTAATCGAAATCTGATTTGGTCCTTCGATGATTTCACTGTGCTTTTTTTCTCCAGCTGGTTCGATTTTCGAGAATGAAAAAACAGACAAAACCCATCGATTGTTCCTACTCTCATTCTCATGACTCAACAGCATTTGACAATATATATGTTTTCTCTCTTTCAAGAACTCGACAATACTGGAGTTGTCTAAATATATTTGATCTATGTATAACAGATAAAGATGAATGATGGTATTGCAGCACAAATAGGAAGAATAAAAGAGTTATTTCGTCTAATCAAAGTTCATCTCTATACAACAGAGTAATCGGTATTACTGCAAACATTTTTGCTTTCTAATTGCCTGGTTCTTATCAAAACACAAGTGTTCTTCTTTACATTTAGAATCTTAGATAAGCACAGTGAATTGATTTATTGCAATAGAGTGTGTGCAAATGCTTAAATCTAGTTTTTATGCCTATATAGTTTTGCAACTGAATATATGAAAGTGTATATTTTACTCTGAAGCACGACTTTACTACAAAATTCATTTTACTGCTTTTATAGACTTAAGAAAAATTGTAATTTTCACGTTTTCTCACAGATAATATGAGATGTTATAAGCTATTTTTTTGGAATAAGTTAATTTCATTATGATAAATTATTTGTGATATGTAAAATCAAGACCCCACGAAGAGTTAAATTGGATAGATCCCATATTGGATTGGTTAAAACGATGAAACTCAATACTTTTTTCTTAATATCAGTCTATTTTAGTCAACCTGAGGAAATAATTTCTGGCTTATGATCAATGAGTAAATCAAATCTGGCAGAGTAGAATTATACTTTGTCATTGCTAGCTTCCTTAGAATGACCTTCGCGTTGAAGTTTGAGATTATTTAATTCATATAAAAGTTCGATCCGTCAAATGAATCGAATATAGGTTTTGTCAAATCAGCTAGAGAGTTTATCAAAAATTGAAAAATGAAATAATTGATCAGTTTAGTTAGATAGAGGCACAAACCTGATGAGCTCTGGAGAAATCTAATCACGAAATATTCGTTCCCTTGAATGGGAAAAAGATTACTTTATTGCTTGACATATATGTATTTTGTACTATTCTTATCGCGTACTGTCTCAAAAAAGAAGAGATTAAGCACAACACAGTAGCAAGTGATTATGCATGCATTTTGTATGCTTGCAAAGTATTTTAAGAATCTAAGTCGCAAATCTCTTTGACAAAAGAAATAAAAATGCAAAAAAAGCCTTAAAAAATGTTAGCAGCATCTTGCTTTTTTATGTTTCTGTCTAGGTCAATACGCTTTGCCAACATCATAATACAAAATAATCATTGTCAATAGCACTTACAATTTAATTTTCCAACGATTACCTGTGAATCAAAGTTTGCATGTATGCGGTTTACTCTTGATCTGTATGAATCAGTTCAATTCTTTTGAAAAGATAATTGATTTAATGTTTTTTCTTGGCTTTTTTTTTCAAAACTGCACGTGGAGATTTCGATTCAATCGTTGAATTCCAAGTTGAAAAATAATTTTCATTTATTATTTGTTCATGATCAATATCTTCTTCATCAAATGAAAATTTATCATTGTTTACAAGTTCGATTATTTTTCCATAATGAAAACATCTATCTACTTCGTTTTGAACAAATATTCTTACCACGCATACAAGAAATTCCAAATAGGTTTTCTTTTGCATAAGATTTGATCGAAAACTAATTAGATGCATTCTGAACGTCGCTTTGACTTGTTCGATGCAAATATAATCCGTTCAACAAATCTATCTTTATTGTTTTCCGTGTTGCTTAGGCGAGTTATATCCTCTAGATCAAAAGACAATCTTGAAATCGAATAATGAGTCAAGTTGAGAATGTGAATCAAAAGGTGTAGGTGAATTAATTGGTGTAAGTGACACTTTTCTCTTCACTTGCATTCATCCACATGAATATTTTCACCTACTTAGCCCACAAGCACACTAACATCGCACAGACTCTCACATAACATATCTAATTTTCTCATGTGAACTTGCATATGTTGACGATGCAAGTGAAATTGAGACTGAGTACGTGTTGGAGGAGATCTGTTTGAAAAGACACACATCTAGGCATATTTATTCTTACCGATCCTTACAATCACGAGTAATATAGAGTTTCATCTATCTGATATTAAGACTTATGAAAACAGAAGATAACAAAATGGTAGCATAACATTCAAATGTGTTGCGATACCACCAAACGTAGTTTTTTGCTGCAAATTCGATCACTGATTTCTTTCTGTTCATCTTGATGAAAATTCTGCACTACGAACCCTTCAAAAATGCGATGACTCTGCACTACTTCACTGTCAATAGCAATATACAATGATAGGGAAAAAAACGTATGTTACGGTTTACAGATTGCTACAGGGTAATATTGTTGTTGTACATTATATATTTTGTGTTTCTTATGGCTATTTCCATGGTACTTGTGACACGAAATACACAACATTCACCAAATCGTTTGAAACTTTCAGGGCTTGTGTAATAGTCACTTCTAAGACATTTTTGCTCTTGGACAAAATTTATACGACGTCTTGTTCAAGAGCTGTAGCCAAAATACCAAATACCCTCCGGAACGGTTTTTTAAAGTATCTTATTCTTTGTAACACTGCTAGTTTTGCACTACTTTATGCTATCGAAATTCTGATGATAGATTTGGATTCCTTATCATCAGGGCTATCAGAATCACTATTTTTAAAAAATTTTTGGACTCATCTCTGAACGAAGAGTCTCTGGAAACCCTTTTCAATAGCCGAGTATTCCAGGAGCAAAAACTCCATTTATAGAGAACTCTGGACTTCGTGGAACATCTCATTTGATAGAGCATCNTCTTTGTGATAGGTTAGTCAACGTTCTTGGTTCTTTATGTTTTATATATCATTTTGTAGTACTTGAAATTTTCTATCGAATGGTATATAATAGTTGGGGTTTTCATTGACTATGATAGGAAAAGTCTTTTACAAAAGTCGCGATGGGTCCATTTTTCCACAGAAAACTATAGGGAAAATGGGTATTTTTGTAATAACTCAGGAATGGCTCGACCGGTCTTTCTCATCTTCGAACTTGACCGAGCTATTGTCAAGACTAAGCTGTGTAGAAAGTTTCATCACAATCTGACTCTGCTGTCAAAAGTTATTATGTAAACAGCCAATCGGACGGACGGACACACTGACTATTCTACAGTCTACTCACTTTTTGAGTACACAAAACTATGATTCGGTTCAAAACTAATATCAGATTCAGAATCAGCGTTAAAAACTGAGTCGATTTATACATGTTGTGAATAATTCTGAAAAAAAAAATTTGTTTTTTGAAAAAATCCCTGTACCTCCCCTCAGGGATGGTCTTCTCAATAATGACAATTTTTTCGATAACTCAGCCATTTCTTGACGGATCCTGCTCATCTTCGAACTCGACCGAGACATGGTTAAGACTGAGCTGTGTAGAAAATTTCATCACGATCCGACTTTCCTTTCGAAAGTTATCGGATAAACGGACGAACGGACACACTGACCGATTTTAGTAGTGTACTCACTTTTTGAGTACACAAAAAACTATTTGGCTTAATATTATACTGTGATCGAATGCATGATGAAGATAATTCATCTTCATTATGCACAGAAAACGCTTCAGCTCAATTCAATGGCATAGAGAATAGTTCGAATCCATCGAGGCAAAAAGAACATTTGAAAGCAAACTATTTATATTGCTTTAGACAACAGAAAGGAAGACACAAGACTGGATTTCGACCGATTCAAACGCAATTGTTTCATCTGCGATAAAGACTTATGAAGTTATTTGCCTCAGGGTACTGGTCTATTATCTAAGACAACTCTTAAGTGGCTATAAGAAGGAAAAATGCGAGATATTTCAAAACAATATGTTACCATATATATGCGCATAATAATGAAAAAGCTAGGCAGTAAGAATAGTTTATTACTGCAGTAATATGAGGAAGAAATAAAAGAGAGATGGAAATATAAAAATGATAAGAACTGAAAGAGAAAAATTGCAAAATATAAATTTTTTTCAATTTAGATTATTTTCTAAGAATGATGAGTAGCACTATAAAAGTTATTCAGAACCGATCCTTTTTCTCACTTTTTTTTGTTCATTATTTATTCTTCACAACTCTCAATATTTACTCATGCTGAAAGAAAAATATAACGATTTCGATAACACTAGTCAAATTTCATAATCAAATAAATCAACAACAGATCTTCATAATACAATAAGAGCATTATTAATGTAACAAACATCTCTTCATTCTCAGATGATAAAATATTTCTTGATTACATACCAATAATCATAAACAAAGAAAAAGCATTTGAAAAATGTCTGATTGTTATGCAAGTTTTAGAAACATGAAAGAAAAAAATATTATGGTAATTGTGTTATATCACAAATAAAAAGGAACAGTTTCATATCAGATATATTTCTATAAACACAAGTTACCGGACTAAAACATTAAGTGTTTAAACAATGTTACGAGGCCAACTTGTTTAAACACTTTGGATCACTTTAAAAAATAAGAAATTACGAATTTTTCTAAAACATGATAAGACTTACTCAAGAAAATACCGGTACAAACACGTTTTCTAATAGTCCTATCTGACTCAAGAGGTTGACATTTTTAAGGATTGCAGGTTTTTCAAAAACAATATTGACGCACTAAATTATTATTAA